GCCTTTCAATTAGCCCCACATATGATTATCGGTCAGGTTGGCACAATTAACTAACTCACCGGTGTACCCTGGATATGCATCCTGGGTTTGATACATGCATTGCAAGGATCACATTCCAGCCATTTATTGTTGTTGTTGTTGTTGTTCTCACCTGCTTAATGGCGTCTTTTGAGAGACAGATGCTTTTAGGTGCAAAAAAGTCAATTTTTTCAATCTTTTCATTAGTTGGGATTTCATGCATATATATCATATCATTCCATATTTCAATCAAGTCAAGTAGAATTGTCCAATTGCAACACAATCAGTTTCCAAACATTCTTTTTCCCCATGGACTCTTCTACACTGTCTCCATTTTACACCCCCTTTCCCACTGTACCCCCCCTGCCCCTGAGCCCTTGTTGTACTTGCTGTCCCTACAGGTTCATCAATCCTGGGTTTCAAATACCAAACAATGGAAAAGCACAGAACACAGCTTCCAACGTGTGACCTCCCCTGACATACAGCCCCTCTGCGATGCACTCGAGCCTCCATCTCTCCTTCATAGGCGGTGATTTGTGTGTCCTGAGTCGGAAATCTTTGTCTAATCCAAGGACATGAAATTGCTCTTCCGTGTTCTCTTTGAGAAGTTTTCTCGTCTTACCTCTTACATTTCAGTCTGCAATCCACTTGAAATCATTTTTGTGTATGCGGTTGGAGTCGTAGATTAAAATAAGCATGGTGACGCAATTGATCCCCCACCGTTTATGGGAAGGCTTTTCCTTCCTCTAGGAAAGGACATTGGAATGTATTAGAATCGGGCAACCTTAGATATGTGGAGTGGAGTGCATGTGCTGTAATTATCAGTGACCATTGCCAAGGGACACTCTGGAGTGGCTGTGTCGATTTGCACGCCCACTAAGTGGCACACCAATACCTGTTTCCACATACCTGTCCCACACGCGTATCCGCACACACTAAAGATTTGCCACGGAGGGGGTTGGGGGCGGCGTAAGATGATTTCATTTGCCTTTATTTCCATCCCCTGTTGTTGGTAAGGTGAGCATCATTTACAAAGATGTTGCAGGTTTTCATTTCGGCTACATTTTCTCTGCAGTTATCTTTCGTCCCTCCCTCCCCGGTTCCCCGGATTCTTTTCTTTTTCTTATGAACTCACAGGAGATTTTAAAGGACGGTGATGTCCGCTCCATGAATTGTAAATGCGTCATGGAGGAGGACAGCAGACGCTGGCCTCCAGGCCACACCGGGCTTTTGTAAATAACGTTATTAGCGCTCGCCGTGCCTGCTTCGTCTGTGTGTCTGCTGCCCCTGCCTGTGTACATGCTCTTGCAGCAGGAGTCAGTCATTATAACGGCCACCGTGTTGTCTGGGGGAAAAATGCTTACGACCTGGCTTTTTATAGAACAAGTCTGCCTTCTTCTGCTTCACTCCAGCCTCTTGCCTGTGGTTTCACTCCGTGCGATCAATTTTGTCTCGCAGCAAATTTGTATGTGTACGTGGGCCCTGCTGCCGACCTTTAACAAGGCATTTATTTTTGAAGACTCGGGACTTGGTGTCTTATTCAGGAAGACCTTTCCCAGCCCGAGTTTAAAGATAGCTCATCTTTCCTGCTTGTTGTGCTTCTGTTCCTTTAATCCACCAGGAGTTTGTGACGCTAAATCTCGTCCTTCATTTCCCTTCACCCGAAAGAGCCAACGCAGGACTGCAAAGTGCCATCGCTTGTAACATTAATACTCAGATCATGTATAGCTTCTCTCTTTTTTTGGTTCCAGGTTCTCAGGAGATTTATATTCAGACACGGTGTGAGGTAGGGATCTAGCGTGGTTTCCAGGTGGACAGCAATTGTCCAGTGCCATTTGTGGACCTGGGGGTCTTTATCATCGATTGCATTTGGCTTTGAGCAGGAGCTTGTCGCCCCACTTTATGGCATTCCATTACTCTTTCTGTCCTTGTTACAATACCACAGTATATATTAATAATTGTAACAATATATTAATCATTGTACTTATAGTGGGGCAGTTTCTTTTGCTCTTATAGGCCTGGTCTCCACCCATCTTTCTTCTTTTACAAGTGGCCTTTTGGCTCCTGGCTCCTGGAGCTAAATCAAAGAGGACTGTGTGGCCAGGTTCTGCAGATCAAAGTCATGTTGGGAGTTTGATGGGCTTGGCAGTGAATTATAGATTAACCCTGCAGGGTGGAGACTTTCATCTCTGTTTGCAGATGAGTACATCTAAATCGAGGGAGGGGAAGCGACCAGCTAGTTGCCACAGAAGTGGGAAGGGATGGGGCAGGCAGAAGACCTGACCTTCATTTACGGCAGTGGTTCTCAACCTTCCTAAAGCCACGGCCCTTTCAGACAGTTCCTCATGTGGTGGTGACGCCCAACCATAACATTATTTTCGTTGCTACTTCGTAGCTGTAATTTTGTTACTGTTAGGAATTGTCATGTAAATATCTGATATGCAGGGTGTATTTTCATTGTTACAAATTGAACATAATAATGCATCACAAAAACAAGATGTCATTATATCTTGTGAAATATTTATTTCTAAGGACAAATCAGTGAAATGTTGTCTTGAAGCATGGTGTAGCATGGGTCACAGTCTTCACGCCGGGGACTCATAGGTGGGCGTATCTGCATGTGGGCGGACCGGCCTGTAGCCCGATAGAGGAGCGGTGTCTCAGTTCCTAAGACCATCGGAAATACAGTGAACCCTCGCCACTTCGCGCTTCGACTTCCGCGGCTTCACGCTATTGCGATTTTTGCGTAACAGCACCCACTGCCTACACCCGCTCCTTCAGAGGAAAAAGACGGCGACCCACCTGTAGAGTACATCCCTTAAGTCATTTCATAGGCTATTGATTACAGTATTTGTAAGAACTATGTATAATAATACTGTATGTGAAATATGTAATACTGTAAACCAGATGCCATAAATAATATAATAAATAATAAATGATAATTGTAACGTCCAAAATGTTTTACTGTATTTTCCCTTTTTCGTTTAATAAATTGGGTAATACGAGTGTAATGGTGACTAAAGGGTGTTTTTTCATGTCCTCTATGCTCTAACTACGAAAATATTTGATTTACAAATAAGGAATCCTACTTCGCGGAATTTCATTTATCACGGTAGGGTCTAGAACCGATTAACCGCGATAAATGAGGGTTCACTGTATGTGTTTTCTGATGGTCTTAGGTGAAAGGGTCGTTGGATCCCAAAGGGGTTGCGACCCACCAGTTGAGAACCACTGATTTATGGGATCCATAAAACTCAGCTTGTGTGTATTGAGTTCATTGGCTCTGTGCTGACCAGGCCGGGTGGGGGGCTAAGATCCCACGTGAGCTCCTGGCTGCCGAGGGAGCTGGGCCCGCGTGTCCCAGGGACAGTGATGGAGGTGTGTGCACAGCAAGGGGAGCTCGGGACCAGTCCTGCTTGGTCAGAGAAGGTCCCAGGGCAGGGCACCCTAGGACTGTACCCCAGTGGACAGCTTTTCTGACAGTCGGCAAGGTGGGGAAGGGGGTCCCAGGCGAGGGAGCTGACTGTGCAAAGGCTTGGAGAGAGGCAGGGGCTTGCAGGCCCCACCGCTTGGAGTCCTCCTGGTAGTTGATTCTTCCCTTGTGCTTGTCTGTCTACGCCCACCCCTGGACAGACAAGGAGATGTGGCCCTGTCCCCCTATTACCGGCCAGAGGATGACGACGAGATGCCCTTCATCTGCTCCCTGTCGGGGGACAACGGCATCATGGGCTGCCACGAGATCCCCCCCCTCAAGGAGCAGGGCCGAGAGTGCTGCCTGTCCAAGGACGACGTCTATGACCTTGGGGCCGGGCGGCAGGCCCTCAACGCCAGCGGGCTCTGCGTCAACTGGAACCGCTACTACAACGTGTGCCGCGCGGGCAGCGCCAACCCCCACAAAGGCGCTATCAACTTTGACAACATCGGCTATGCCTGGATCGTCATCTTCCAGGTGAGGCCAGGCCGCTGCTGGATGGGCGCCCATCTGAAGGGCAGGAGGCAGCCTGGCCGTTGTATGCTGGCAGGGCTTGGTGCCAAGCGTTGCCCCAACTCCACTTAGTGACAGTCTGCCATCCAACCCCACCCCATCCTACCCACCTTATTCCACCCCACCTCTCTCTACTCTACCCTACCTCATGCTACCCCCACCTCATCCCACTTAATCCCACCCCACTCCACCCACCCCATTTTAGCTTATCCCATTTCATCCTTCCTCACCTGACTCCATCCCACCCACCCCACTCTTCTCCACTCCACCTCACTGTACCCCACCACCCCATTTAACTCACCCCACTCAATCCCAGCCCACTCCCATCCTCCCTGTTCCACCTCGCCCCATCCCATCTCATCCCATTCCCCTGCCCTCCCCCCAACCGTTCTACCCTACCCCCTCCATCCCATCCCACCCCATTCTCCCTACCCCACCCCACCCTATTCTACTCTGCCACATTCTGCCCCCTGCACCCTGTCCTACCCCATCCCACACATGTCCTCCCCACACTGACTGTGGGATGGGCTCTGTTAGAGGCAGTGCTGTAAGGCTTGGATACCTTCTTGAGTTCTCTGTGCAGCCTCAGCTTCCTCACCTCTAACACGGAGGTAAGGTCAGTTCCCAGCACCACCTTGGGTAGCTGGACAGGCAGTGAGCTGGCGCGGACCCAGCTGGTCCCTCCTGAGGCTGCCCTGCGCCTTTTCAGGAGGGAGCATGGGGAGCGTCAGACTGCCCTGCTCTGGACAGGGAAGCTGGCCCTGATGCCCACTTGATGCAGTGGGTTTAAAGGGGACCATGAAGGGGCTGGGCTTCCTGTGTGGCAGTGGGCCTCTCTGAACCGCAGTTTCTTCCTCTGTCCAATGGGAGGAGGATGCCTACCCTGCAGGGAAGTATGGGGGAGAGTGTTTAGAACTGCCTGACCCTCTTGAGGACTGGGCACCCCCTGACCCTTGCTGCCCATCTCAGGCCCCCTCCTCCTCTCCCCGGACATAGGTGATCACCCTGGAGGGCTGGGTGGAGATCATGTACTACGTGATGGATGCTCACTCCTTCTACAACTTCATCTACTTCATCTTACTCATCATAGTAAGTATCCAGGAAGCCGCCCCTCAGGCACAGTGTCCTGAAGGACCCTGGCTGGCCTCTCAGAGGTCCACAGACCAAGGGTCAGGGGAAGGGGGATTTGGGGAGTCCTCAGGGAGTCTTGAAGGGAGGGAGCAGGAGGGGGAGCAACAGGCGTGGAAGGGCATGTCAGGGGCCGCTGGGTGCATCCATCACCCTTGATTGCCTTCATTTCTCTTCCACCCAGGGGCTCACTCGCCCTTTTCTCCCCTTCAGCCTTTGTTGCCCCCACCCTCACCCCCCCAGCAGAGGGCTCCTGGGTAGAATTTCGAGAGAAGAAGCCTCCCATGGTCATGACCTGGGGGAGCACCTGAAATCCTCAGGAGGGGGCTGGACTCTTAGCTCTCAGGCAGCTTTGCCTTGGCGGGGGTGGAGTGGGGAGATGGAGGTGCGCCTGGACTTCAGAGCAGGCCCCCCCCCCACTCCCACACTGTCTCCCTGAACCAGGCTCATGCACTTGTCATGCCTGGCTGCAGCCAGGCACAGCCAGCCACGGCACGGTCCCCAAATGTCAAGGTGATTCACACCCTGGAGAGTGGCTGCCAACTTCTTGGGGATGGGAGGGGCCCATGCGCCAGGCTGGGCTGGAGGAACCTTGACCCAGGGGTCAGCACAGGTTGGTAGGTGACCTGAGAGATGCCTGCTGTTGGCTTAGCCTCCCCCTGCTCTCCCCAGGCCTGGGGTCTTGGCTCAGGAGGAGCCACCTCAGATAAAAGGAGAGGGAGGGGCCCAGGTTTGGTGGGGTCTCCCCACCCATTCACACGATGAAGATACTAGTTCGTCAGAGTGTGCAGGGAGCCCCGAACTCAGTGTAGCGGGCAGAGTAGAACCAGGCCTGGGAGACCCTCGGGGAGGGCACAGAGTCATCCTACGGTGAGCTGCCTGCAGCCAAGGACACAGCATCTTTAGTGCCATGAGAGGCTAGGGAGCAAGGAGGAGCGATGAGGATGGGGGGGGATTCCTGGAGGAGGTGACACAGGAGCTTTTGGGACTCAGGGGGCAGCCGGGGAAAGGCCGCTGGGTGGAGGGCAGCTGGCAGAAACCTCTACTCAGACAGATCCCTGCAGGGGTTGGGGGGAGGTGGGTAGGACACGATGGCAAACCACTGGCGTAACTTGGGGGACCTGGAACCCTCAGAGGGGGTGACAAGGGCGGGGATCTGGAGTTGTGAACGCACAGCAGAGCCTGGGCAGAGTCTGAGCTCTCTGGGGTTCCTGGGAAGTGGCATGCAGGGAGGACAGCTCGCGGCTGACTCTGAGGGGCTCCAGGAGACCGAGCCGGGGTGCTCGGCCTCGGGCCCCAGGAGCCGGCCTACTGCCGTCTGGCGCAATGGGGTTAGCTCGGGGCTGCTGACTAGCCGCTCCCAGGGCGGAAGTGGAGGCTGTCTGCTCCCAGAAAGCATTGCAGTGTCAGTACCCCGGTGGCCAGCCCCAGGCCCTCCTGCAGAATCACTTGCTATGGGTCAGAGTCGACTGGAGGGCAGTGGCTAGTAGGACTCTTGGTCCAGGCGGCCCTGGCCCGGGAGACAGGGAGCTGGTGGAGGCCGAGGAGGCAGCATGCGTCCAAAGCAGAGCCCGACCAACTTCCTCCTCAGTTCACCCCCACATCCGGGGCCTCTGTGGAGTGTGGCCGGCACGAGGGGAGGACTCTGAGACCCAGCAGACCCGGTCAGATGCCCAGGTCCTGCACTCACCTTCTGAGGGGAAAGGCTCCCGTTACAGACAGGGAAACCAAGGACCAGAGGGCCCCTGAGATTTGCCCAGGTCACGCAGCCGAGCAGCCGAGGAGGCAAGGCTGGGTAGAAAGCTGGCAGGTGTGGGTCCTCGGGTGTAGGGTCTGCAGCCCGTGCTCAATGGCCAAGGGAGAGAGGGGTAATCCACGGGGCCAGTGGATTTTCCCAGAGTCCTCTGGGCCAGGCTGTCCGCATCCCTCTCTAGGCCCCTAGCCCCCCAGACATGGGCTCTACCTGTGGTGGACCCCGGCACGGCAGCGGGGATGGTCTGCTCCCTGGACACCAACCTGAGGTGCAGGGTCCTTCACCTGCTACTGGGGTAGCCTCGCCCAACCTCCCTGCTCCAGAGGACCAGAGAGAGAGCAGAGCCCGGGGAGGACTCAGTCTTAGACTCCAGGGAGGGCCGTGGCCCTCGCCTCCCAGGCAGGATGGAGGCTGAGGCCAGGATATAAGGGGCTGAAAGGAGCCTGGGCCCTAGGGGCTGCCTGGACCCCCGACACCCCCCGGGGTCCCCACCTTATCACAGAGCCAGGCCTCAGAGAGATCTTTTCCTGTTCCTATCTGTGTCTCTGTGCCTCTGTCTCTCTGGGTCCCCCCCACCCTTGCCTCTGCCCATGTTTCCCTTCCCATGTCTGACCCCCTCTGAGCCTGCCTCCTTTTCTCTCTGGCCTTTCCCTCTCTGGTCTCCTGGCTGCCACATCGGTCCCTGCCTCTGCCCACCTCTGCATTTCTGCCCGACTCTGCTTCTCCGCCTCTCCATCCCTCTGTCTCTCTGCCTCGCCCCGTGTCTCCCTGCTGGCCTCTCCCCCTCCTCCTTCCCCCCTCCGCCCTGTCCCTGTCCTCTCCTTCCGTTGGTCACAGGTGGGCTCCTTCTTCATGATCAACCTGTGCCTCGTTGTCATAGCGACCCAGTTCTCGGAGACCAAGCAGCGGGAGCACCGGCTGATGCTGGAGCAGCGGCAGCGTTACCTGTCCTCCAGCACGGTGGCCAGCTACGCCGAGCCCGGCGACTGCTACGAGGAGATCTTCCAGTACGTGTGCCACATTCTACGCAAAGCCAGGCGCCGCGCCCTGGGCCTCTACCAGGCCCTGCAGAGCCGGCACCAGGCGCTGGCCCCGGGGGCGCCCCCCGCCAAGCCGGGGCCCCACGCCAAGGAGCCCAGGCACTACAGTAAGTGGCCCGGCCTCCCACCAGCCCCCAGCCCCTAGGCCGCAGGCAGGCGCCCTTGGTGGGAGTCAGGTATCTTATTGCCCCAACGCAAGAGGAGGACCTGCTGACCAGAGCCTCAGGCTTTCATTCCATGTCCAGGCGCTTCCTGTACCATCCGTGCTGATCTTAGGCCCCTGTCCCCGTCACAGGCAGGCCTTCCCCGCCAGCTCAGCGAGCTCGGGTGCAGACATGGCCCTTGCCCAGAGGGATCTCCCTGCCAGGCCTGTGTGGCCCC